GCAGTCCTGACAGGGAGTGATTAAAATAGAAGATAAGCCCATTTCACTCCAAAAGCTGTTCCATTTGGCCTCATGGTTCATTTGTATTTGTTGTGCAACACCAACAAAAAAAGTGCACTCAGATGCAGATGCAGGGATGGCCCGAAATGCAGGAGACACTCCACTTGTCTAGACAGCAATGTTCTAACCGACAGAGGAGACACACTGCCCTGTTCATAGTAGTTGCTTAATTTTTCTCACCTGAAAACAGACTGTGGATTTCCAACCTTTAATTAAGATGCAGTTTTCTTTTCAAAAGCAACGTGTTCTAATAAATACCAGCTGAGCTGGGATAGAGGCGCTGCAGAAATTACAACTGCAGCTGAAAAGCCATGGGACTTGCAGCAGGCTAACCATGAAGACCTTCAGGAAAGGAATAGTTTCCATGTGCTTTGGAGATGAGGACACGCCTCGTGGACTGTGCTCCTTGGCTTCAAAGCCAAGCCACAGCGCCAGTGCTGTGGGTTCTGCCTTCTTGTACAGAGAGAGGACAGAAAGAGGCAGAAGGACAGTAAGGCAGGGTATTGGTTTAAATGACCTCTGCCTTGAAGTTCTGTGACATTATAATCAAGGAGGTACTCAGAGAAAGGTGAGAAGTGTTCTTACTACAACTGAGATCATTGGCTTTGCAAAAGGGAGTTCTTAGAAAAGAAAATGTTTCTGCAGATTGAAATGTCTTGGTATTTGAAATGTCTTAGTGTCTCTGTGGCCCTCCCTCTACACTTAGTGTTGACAGATAAAACACGAGATGTCCAGTTAAATTTGAACATCAGATTAATAATGAATAATTTTTAGTGTAAGTATATCCCATGCAATAAGCTAAAAATATACAAAAGAATTATTTGCTGTTTATCTGAAATTCAAATTTAACTGAGTGTTCTGTATTTTTATTTACTAAATCTGCCAACTATACTCCCACTCAAACCAGAGCTTTCCTCCAGATCCACTTTCCTCTGGTTCTCTGTAAAGAAGTGCCAGGCCAGCTTGGCACAGACTATGGTCATCTTAGACAGTCAGCATAATGTTTAAGAACAACAGCTTTGGAGTCTTAAAGACTTAAAGTAGCTTTCTACTCAAGCCTGTCACTTTTTGATGGGTTGATGTCGAGAAGGTTTCTTGGCCTCCCAGGGCCTCAGCTTTGTCCTCTGCTGAATGGGGAGGATGAAAATCTGGGCTGATGTTCAGCCATATCCAACAGTACAAAATCCATACCAGTAGTTTAAAAATTAAAGCATTGCCCAGTCTAGTTGGCAAATACCTTCCCAATCTCCCTTTCATTGTGCCAGACACCCTGGCTCCTCCCCACCACTTTTCCCATCTAGCAACAAATACCTTGCACAGCCAGAGGCCTCCAGGACCCTGTTCTAATGTTTTACTCAGTGTTCTTTCTGACTGGCAAGTATCTGTGGCTTATTGATAGTTAAATAAATTGACAACCACTCCTGTTAGGAATACCCACCTCAAAGGTTGTTGTAAGGTGTAGGTGAAATAATGTGAAAGAACTGTGGATACAGGGTCTGACCCAGGGATCTCACACACACACACACAAAATGAACGAACGAATGAATGAATGAATGAATCCCTGTGCTACTCATAAGGAAGAGACTTCACTTTGTTTTTTGTGCACATGACAAATCATTCTCTCTCTCTCTCTCTCTCTCTCTCTCTCTCTTCCCACCCCCCCTTCTTGCTCTCCCTTTGTCTCTTTCAATGGGTTATAACCATTAATTATACAGGCTTTAATATATCTTAAAGATCATTCAACTTCCAGTTGAGTTTCTTCCTCTTTACATGGAGGAAAACTGAGATCAGGCATAATTTACTGACTTACCTATCTAAACAAGACCAACTTTATGCATTGTTGGTTTGAGGGATTGTGGGAAAGATATTTTGCTCAAAAACATTCCTTTCATCCAACTGCCACAAAGCCTGAAATTTCACCATTAGCATTTTAGTCATCTTTAACAATTGAAGTAACACTTATGCTTATCAAGGTATTTCTCAAAGCTCATTCTCTTTAAGCTAGAAATGACCCAGGGTCACCCTGAGAACCTCAAGCACTGGGCTGGGGTGTGGTAAAAAAGAGATTCTGAAAGAGGTTGAAAGGAGATCTGGGACGTGCCAAAGACACACGCATCCAACTTTAAAACTGTGTGACAGGCTGACTATGCATTAGATTGTCCCACTGGGGCAGTTGTGCATTTGTGCTGTTGCATAATACAGAAGGACAAAAAGCATAAATACTAACTGATCACTTCACTCAAAAGAACTTCTCACAAGGAAGTCAGACCCCTTGATGCTGCCTTACGCTTAGGCAATGCCAGAAGTCATTTTTATATTGTTGGTCAAGGGTTTTTCAACTGGATGCCTGAAAATGTTTTTCACAGATCTACAAAGCGTGGATCATACAACAAAGCCTCAAAATATACAGGGGCAAAAATGTAGCTGGGATCGTATCTACTCATATATACAAATTGCTTCCACCACTGGGTTAGTGCTAACTGCTGGAGTCCAGCATCCCCTGTATTAAGATGTATCTTTATCTGCTGACAGTTGAATTTGATCCACCTGCACATCATTTTCAGGGCAGGTGTTGGGAGCTAACCAGTTGCTGGTATAGGCTAGTCTGTTTTCCCCAAAACACAATATTGTCATGCACTGTGTAATGACGTTTCGGTCAACGACAGGCTGCACATATGATGGTGCTTCCATAAGATTATAATAGAGCTGAAAAATTCATATCACCTAGTGACACTGTAGCCACTGTAACATCGTAGTGCAATTATGTTATTTTTTATAAAGTTAGCATGGCCTAAGTGTCCAGTGTTGATAAAGTCTACAGTAGTGTTCAGTAATGTCCTAGGCTTCACATTCACTCACCACTCACTCACTGACTCACCAAGAGCAACTTCCAGTCCTGCAAATTCCATTCACAGTAAGTTCCCTCTACGGGTGTACCATTTTCTATCTTTTATGCCATAATTTTACTGTATCTTTTCTAGATTTACATATACAAATGCTTACCATGGTGTTACAATTGCCTATAGTATTCAGTGTGGCACAAGCTATACATTTTTGTAGCCTAGGAGCAAAAACTATACAATTTAGCTTATACCAACTAGGTTTGTATAAGTACACTCCATGAGGTCAGCACAATAATGAAACGGCCTCATGATGCATTTCTCAGAACACATCCCCAGCCATCAGCATCACAAGACTGTAAAATACACCATCCAATAATTTGACTGATTTTGTTTAGAAGATGAGAATCTAAAGAAATTCTTTTAAAAAGCTTCTGGGAAAACAGGGGTTAAAATTCTGGCATTTTTCTTCAAACATCCATATTTGTGATATTAATTGCCAATGGATGATCACCAAATGAGGAAGGATCTTCCCATCAAAGTCTAATTAGTTTCATTGTCTTTTTTTTCCTGAATTCCATTGTATTCCACTCTACCCTTCGGCTGCCTGTTTTAATTAATTTTGCACCACATTCAAAGGTTTCGCTTTTGTGCCTCTCTGTTTGATTTAAATTCCTTTTTGCAAATAAATAAATATATAACTATCAAAGCTAATGAGGCTCTGAAGATTTGAGATGTAAATATCATATGCAGATTTTTTGGGGGGTCCCAGCTCAGCAGAAGACCAAAAATAACACTTGAAAGTTTGATTAAGAAATCTCAGGCTCCCCCTCCCACACCTCCCTCCAGACAATCTTTCTGCCAGCATTTTCAGTTATTTTACCAAAAAAAAAAAAAAAAACAGGACCCCCAAACCCAAAACCTCAAGAGCAATCTCCTTTCAAGACTGGCTCAGATGGGCACGGGATTGTGCTGAGCTCCTATTTAAGATCCATCCCCGACTGACAGATTCGTGTCTGTCCTGAGAAGTCTGTGTGTCAATGCATACACTCACCACACACACACACACACACACACACACACACACACACCCCTTCATATGCATCCATAGACACACACAATTATTTTCACACATAAACTCACCCATATTCATACACAGTGCACTCATGCCCACTCAGCAACAAAAACTCAAAACACACATACTTTCACACATGCAAACTCGTCTATATTCATACACACATAACCTCATGCCCACTCAACAATGAAAACTCACAACATGCAAGTATCCACACATAAGAACTCACCCATATTCATACACACATACCTTCATACACACTCACAACACACATATTTTCACACATGCAAACTCACCTATATTCCTACACACATAACCTCATGACCACTCACCAACACAAACTCACAACACACACATTTTCACACGTGCAAACTCACCCATATTCATGCACGCATACCCTCATACACATTCACCAAGACAAACTCACAGCACACACATTTTCACACTCTTACCTGCACAAACCCATACGCTGATATAGACACACTCACCCATACGTCAGTAGACTCACAAATTCCTGCATGCGCACACACAGATTCCATATGCATACACATTCTCCCACACACCTGACACATGCATCATGCTTTGGCAGCTCAAGCTTCCAGTTTCAAATCTGTGTCACCTCCAGTATATTCTCCCACATACCCTCAAAAGGCATCTCTGCAAGAAATTCCAAGACTCCCCCACCCCCTCCCGGCCTGCCATCATCCTTTTAGGTGTATTCAGGGGCAGCCTGGGGCACAGTTATTAAACTGTATCCCAAAGAGCTCTTCCACTTTGCAATCTGCTTTTTCCTGAGATCTCCATATCCTTTACTGAGAAAGTCTGATTCATTTCCCAGAAATTTTTATCTGCTATTAATCTTTCAGGATATTGTTAGTGTTGTGATATTTTCAGATATTGTTTTTGAGTGGCAGGGGGAGGGGAGGGCAGATTTCAAGTGGCCGTCCCCTGGCAGTTTCGGAGATTACTCAGTGCTTATAAGCAGCTCAGAACTGTGTGACAGCATTTCCATGCAAGGGACTTACAATCATGTTTCATTAATTCGACGTGAATGAAGCCTCATTTCTGGCCTTGAGGAGCTTAAGATGTATGTGAAATTAATAACAGAACAGATGTCTTCACAATTTGGTTCCTCTGGAAAAAAAAAAAAAAAGAACCTGATTACTTTGAAAACTTCAATGCTTTAAAATGCAGACCCAGGGAGTTTTTACTCCAGGGTAAAGAGTTATGCCTTGATATCGTCCACATCTCAGAACTAAGTGGAATTTAAATGTCAGATTTATATTAAATAGTCATATTCCCCATCATGGCATATAATAAACAACAGCTTATTACTTTCATTAATAAGATGTGTTGGACATTTAAACTAAACCTTTGGAGATAAAGCCCACACCTCCTGAGCAGGAGGTGCTGGGGAGACACAGGGGATGTGTGGGGGAATATTCAGGCAGCCTGGTTTTTAGCTTGCTTTCTGATAATTTAATCATTGATTTCTCATAGGAAAACAAAATGCATCTGTGCTCACACAAAACTCACCACTTTATAAAGAAGTTGAGCCGTCTCCCATGGATGCGTATGCCGGAGGCCGAGTGCTCTGTTTCACAGGACACTTGAAGTCCTGCCTCTTTATTTTTTATTATTTCTTCCTGCTTGAAATCTTGTATCTTTATCTAGGCTTCTGTGACACTAAGTGCCTCTCGAGCTGAATTTTAACACTCCTCAGGGCGTTAGTGTGACTGCACACCAGGGGAGCTGGGTTTTTATTTCTGAAAGTCCAAAGAGGAAGAGTGTAATGGAAAGATTACCCAAGGGGAAGTTATTCTGGAGAAGCAGGAAGAGAGAACAAAGGCCCCCAGGCACATGGCCAGGAGTTCCCCTTGCCCTGGCTAGGCAAGCGAATGAAGCTTTCATGGGAAAGGGATGCTAACTGGGGAAGCCCAGGGTTCACATGTTAGGTCTCAGAATCTGGTCTGCTGTAATGACCATCACAACCACCGTAATGACCCTTCTGTCTTTCAACGCCACTGTGTGTCCTTGAAACTGTCACCTTCCCCACTTTCCCCCACGGAGACAGCAAGAGCATTGAACCAAATGATCTGCCAGCTTCTCACTTTGACATTCTCCATGTCCTCTAAATTCGGCTTCCACAACATTTATTTTACTACGTCTACCTACTCCTCTCCACCTCCTTCCTCTCAAAACTGGACTGGGTGTGAGGTGCCATGGTACAGTCAGTCACCTCTGCAGGATTGCCCCAGATATAATGGTCAAAAGAAGCCCACAGGGGCAGGGGTCTTCTCTGGTCCCAGCTCTCCATACAGGTGTGGCCTTGGATAAGATGCATGCTGTGGGCACCAGACATGGTGGCTCACAACTATAATCCCAGCACTTTGAGAGGCAAAGGTGGGAGGATTGCATGGAGTTTAAGACCAGCCTGGGCAACATAGTGAGACTCTGTCTCCACAAACAACAAAAAAAGGCAGGAATAGTGGCACATAGCTATAGTCCCAGCTACCTGGGAGGCTGAGCTGCGATGATCGCTTGAGCCCAGGAGGTCAAGGCTGCAGTGAGCTGTGACTGTGCCACTGCACTCCAGCCTGGGTGACAAAGCAAGAGCCAATATCAAAAAAAGAAAGAAAAAAAAGATACAGGGCGTGTTTGACCCTCAGAATTTTCATGTGAAAAGGGGTGGAATGACCTTCACCCAGGACTGCTGTGAGAATGACACGAGCTGCTGCACACTGTGTTTGGTACAGAACATAGCACCTTTTGTTAGTATTCCCAGCTAGGGAATGTGAAGGAGAGAGGTATCCAGGAGTGACTGCACTTTCGGAAACTCCCTGGACTGCCACAGTCCCCAGCACCACTGTTGAAGAAGGATTGTCTAAGTCTTCCGTATTCTTTACTAATATGGGTGCTGCGTGTGCACAGCAGTGGAGACCAGGCCAGAATGCAGAAGGTGGGCCCCACCTAAGGGATTGGGAGCAGCTCAGTGTCAGGCACTTGTCACCCCAGATGTGCATCCCAAGGGCGCTATGTAGCAATGCCAGGCCTTCTCCCTCTTCAGGGAAACCAGAAATGTGGAATTTTATGTGGTAGTTTTTAAGTTTTGAGTAGAGATCACTACAAGTCTGCAAGCCATTACTTGAAACCATTGGGTCCAGCGGTATTTCAGTATTTAAATTTTCAGATTTAAAAATATTATACAATGAGACCACCATTTATAACGTGACAGCTTCAAGTGGGGTCTGGGAAAGCATGTCACAACCAAGTCCATTAATACTTTGATATCAAAATAATTGTACTCACAAAGAGTGGTGAGACATAGGACTCAACACTTTCTCTCCTTGTGGGGACCAGGCCAAGCCCCCACCACACTAGCAGAGTCAAGGGAGCTGTGGCTAAGGCTTTGTGACCCAGTTCCGTGCAGCCAGCCCCACTCACTCCAGGAAGAATCATAGGAACCATAAAGCTTTGGGATTCCTGAACTGAAAAGGCTATGACAACCACTGCATAAGGTCGCCACACAGCTCCAAGGGACAGAATCCCAAGCCAAATAGGTTTAAACAAAGAACAGCAACAGCAGTCAAGTTTATTCGGTTATAGGAGAGAAAAGTACAGAGGTGTCTGGCCAGGATCACCTGGATCCAAGTGCTCCAGCAATGACCCCTGGGCTCCGTTTCTATCTCTCTGCTCCACATTTGACTGTGTTGGTTCCATACTTATACAGATGCCTCGTGGCAGCAAAAAGGCTGCCAGAAGCTCCAGCTCCACGTATTTCTGGGATTGGGTCCCCTGGGAAACAGCATCTGTTCTGTCCCTAGAACAAAAGCCATGGGTCATCTCTATGGCTCTGAAAGTGTCCCTTGCCCTCATGGAGCCAATCACAGTGGTCAAGTTTACCTGCCCACCTGGAAAGAAGGATAGATTCCTTCTGGCCCATTTTACCCAGACTTCAGAGCCAGGGAAACTGAATGGAGGCCTGGGTGGGGGCAAAACCGTAGGTGTCTATTACCAGGGTGACACAGCAAACCCTCTCATTTCAACAGAGCAGACGATGAAACTAAGAGAGGAGGTGAAATCTGGCCAAAGTCACACAGCAGGGTCACTGGCAAAGCCAAGGCTGTGACCCAAATCTCTCAGTTTGGAAATTCCTGCATTGTACCACCTGGGATCAGTGGAGCCTGCTTCCCCCATTTCCTATGTCTTCACCCCCACCCCTCCCTGAGGAGGAAGAAATGAGGAAAGCCAACACTGTAACAAGCACATGCCCATGTGAGCACATGTAGGCATGCACACACACACACACACACACACACACACCCCTCATGAGCAAAGATCACAGCCCTCTATTAGCAAGCTTGTGCCAGAGAAACCACAATTTACCTTTTCTTCTCTTGTACATCCCTCATCTCTAGGGAGGTCTCTACTGAGTCCAGCACAAAGTTCATACTCAATAAATGTTGCTATTGTTATTGTTGTAATTCTTATTTCTCATACTATGAATTACTCCCTCCTACACTCTCCTTGGCCTAATCTGTTAATTTACATTGAGGTACAAATGATTAAGCAAAGGGAGTATGAATAGCCAAGCAGAAGGACCAAGCGAGTTGGCATTTTTAATAAGAGCCAGAGCCTGAATTCAGCAAAAGATATGAAAGTCCTCATAATTATTAATGTGCATAGCTCTTTCCAGTTTGCAGATGACTTTCTCATTCATCACCTCATTTGATTTTCAAAAAACAAAACCAAAAAAACAACCCGCTGACTGAGATTAGGAGAGAATTATTTCCAACCACAGATAAGAAAGCCAAACACTTCCAAAGAAACATTTAGCTAAGGTTTTCCAGGTACTAACTGGGAGAACTGGTATAGAACTGGAGTCCTAGTTTAGAAGCTTTTTACTAAATGACATGCGTATGCATGCATGCACATAAGCATCCACACACACTCAGACTATTAGAAATACAAGTCTTGAGTGGTGACTCATGCCTGTAATCCTAGAACTTTGGCAGGCCAAGGTAGGAGGATCACTTGAGGCTAGGAATTCAAAACCAGCCTGGGAAACATAGTAAGACCTCATCTCTATTAAAAATAAAATAATTAGCCGGGCATGATAGTGCACATCTGTAGTCTCAGCTACTTGGGAGGCTGAGGTGGGAGGATCACTTGAGCCCAGGAGTTGGAAGCTGCAATCAGTGATTGCACCACTGCACTCCAACCTGGGCAACAGTGCAGCCCTGTTTCAAAAAAGGAAAGAAAATAAGAGAAAAGAAAGAAGAAAAGAAAGAGAAGGGAAGAAAAGGGAAGGGAGAAAAAAGGGAAGGAAGGAAGAAGAAAGAAAGCAAAGAAGAAAGCGAGAGGGAAAGAAAGAGAAGAAAGCAAAGAAAGGAAAAGAAGAAAGGGAAGAAAGAAGAAGGAGGAGGAGGGGGAGGGAAAGAAGGAAAAAAGAAGGGAGGGAGGGAGGAAGAAAGGAAGGAGGGAAGGAGAGATACTGCAACACAAATAAACTATGTATCTAAAAGCTCACCAAGTCATGAACACTCATAGGACCTTACTTACATTACTTGTGCCATGATTCAACTTTGCATAAAAGTATTAAAAGCTCTTTGGGCCACAAATCTTTAAGTCATATATGAAATAAGCTCCATTCCCTACCTACCACCAATCATTACCACTTGCAAGGCCACCACATTGATCTCTTCTCCTACCTCCCACTTCTATTTATCTCAATTATAGTGTACATTTTTTTTTCCTTTGCTAACAAGAACTCTATTCAATTCAATGATCTGATCTCCTAGAAGGTAGTTATTATCTCCATTTTACTGACCAGGAAACAGAGATTCAGAAAGAGCTTAAGTAACGTGTCTGAAGTTGTACAGCTAGACTTAACCACTTTCTCTTGTCTTCCTCTGGCCCAGGTGGCTTATCGTTTGATTCTACCCAATTTCTTCTTTTTGAAACCAGGAAGCATAAGTATTCAGGTTCTAACCTTGAAAAAGTAGAAAGAAAGTTTTTCCTGGTCCCCACTTCAGACCAAGTCAGGTGTATTCATTCACTTGACAACATTCACTAGGTTCCTACTGTGTGTTAGTTCTTTTACGCATGAGGTTTTGAAGGGTTTGGAGGGTAGAAGAGAAAGGAGAGAGAACAGTCCTTTTTAATTAAAGTATAATTGATTCCATAAATGTTCATTCTTGGGCTAGAGCCCATATTGACGAACACTAATGAAAAAATAAGTTGAAGAATCAAGTCAAAAGTGTTGTATACATATCTCATCTACATCTATATCTATACCTATATTTATGCATATTCTGTTTTAGTAGGTAATGCATACATGCGGTGGAAAATTGTAAGTTACAAAGTCTCTTTCACAGACTAACCACCCAGTTCCGCTGCTTAGAGACAATGACTTGTTTCTCACAAGTCTATCCAGAGAAAGTGAAGCACGTACTGTTGAGTCTGCTTATTTCTCTGGAATCTTTTCGAAAGAATATACCATCAAATGTTGTGACATCTGCCAATCTGACCAATGAAAAATTGTACAATCCGTCCTTGAACAACATGGGGGTTGGAGTGCCAACTGCCAGCACAGTCCAAAATCCATGTGAAACTTTGGTCTCCCCCAAAACTTAACTACAAATAGCCTACTGTGGACCTTACCAATAACATAAACAGTTGACTGACACCTATTTTGTATGCTATATGTATCATATAGTACATTCTTACTATAATGTAAG